TGGTTTGTATTGCATTTATGCTATGTGTTAGGGCTCCTAGCATTGTCCTTATTTTTCTTCCATGACCTTTATCATTTTAAGTTTTATCATTTTAGGTCTTTGATCCATTTTGAGTTACTTTTTGTGTACAGTGTGAGGTGTGGTTGCTGTTTCATTTTTTTACAGATGTACATCCAGTTTTTCCAGCACTATTTGTTAAAAAACTGTCTTTTCCCCATTTGGAGCCCTGGTGGTGTAGTGGTTAACAGTCAGCTGCTGAACAAAATGTCAGCAGTTCGAATCCACCAGGCAGTGCTTGGAAACTCTATGGGGAAGTTCTCTCTGTCCTACAGGGGTGCTATGAGTCAGAATCAACTTGACAGCAATAGGTATTTTTTAAAATTTTTCCCCCATTTAATGGACTTTGATCCTTTGTCGAAGATCAGCTGACCATAGGTGGATGGATTTACATCTGGGTTCTTGATTCTGTTCCATTGGTCTATGTGTCTGTTGTTGTACCAGTACTAGGCTGTTTTGATTACTGTGGCTGTATAGTAGGTTCTGAGATTAGGTAATGTGAGACCTCCTACTTTGTTGTTTTTCTTCAATAATACTTTGCTTATCCGGGGCCTCTTACCGTTGCATATAAATTTGGTGATTAGTTTTTCCATCTTGTTAAAGAATTCTGTTGATATTTGGATCAGGATTGCATATTATCTGTAGATCACTTTGGCTAGGATTGACATTTTCACAATGTTGATTCTTCCTATCCATGACCATGGTATGCTTTTCCATTTATGTAGATCTCTTTTGGTTTCTTGCAATAGTGTTTTGTAATTTTCTTTGTACAGATCTTTTATGTCCCTGGTTAGATTTATTCCTAAGTATTTTGTCTTTTTAGGGGCTATTATAAATGGTATTGTTTTCCTTATTTCCTTTTTGAAGTTATCTTTGTTGGTGTAGAGGAATCCAACTAATTTTTGTATGTTTATCTTGTATCCTGCTGCTCTACTGAATCTTTCTATTAGTTCCAGTAGTTTTCTTGTGGAATCTTTGGGGTTCTCTGTGTATAGGATCATATCATCTGCGAATAGGGATAGTTTTACTTCTTCCTTTCCAATCTGGATACTCTTTATTTCTTTTTCTTGCTTTATTGCTCTACCTAGACCATCCAGTACAAGGTTAAATGGGAATTATGTCTTGTTCCAGTTCTCAGGGGGAATGCTTTCAGCCTCTGTCCGTTGAGAATGATGTTGGATGTTGGTTTTGTATAAAAAAAAAAACCCGTTGCTGTCGAGTTGATTCTAACTCATAGCGACCCTATAGGACAGAGGAGAACTGACCCACAGAGTTTCCAAGAAGCGCCTGGTGGATTCAAACTGCTGACCTTTTGGTTAGCAGCCATAGTTCTTCACCACTATGCCACCAGGGTTTCCAAAAAAGAAAAGTTGGCTCTGGAGGAAGGTCCTTCTCATCAATCTTCCCCTGGACTTGGAGCTTCTCCACACAGGAACCCCAGGTCCAAAGGATGCGCTCTGCCCCTGGCACTGCTTTCTTGGTGGTATGAGGTCCCCTTTATTATGTTGAGGAATTTCTCTTCCATTCCTATTTTATTTAGAGTTTTTATCAAGAATGGGTGTTGGACTTTATTAAATGCTTTTTTTGTGTTGATTGAGATGATCATGTGATTCTTTTCTTTTGTTCTATTTATGTGGTGGATTATTTTGATTTATTTTCTAATGTTAAATCATCCTTGCATATCTGGTATGAATCCCACTTGGTTGTGGTGTATAATTTTTTTGATATGTTGCTGAATTCTACTGGCTAGAATTTTGTTGAGAATTTTTGTATCTATATTCGTGAGTGATATTGCTCTGTAACTTTATTTTTTTGTGGTGTCTTTGGCTTTGGTATCATGGTTTTGCTGGCTTCACAGAATGAATTCGGGAGTATTCCTTCCTTTTCTACGCTCTGAAATAGTTTAAGTAGTACTAGTGTGAGCTTTTCTCTGAATTTTTGGTGGAATTTTCCATTGAAGCCATTCAGGCCAGGGTTTTTTTTGTTTTTTGTTTTTGTTGTTGTTAGGAGTTTTTTGTTTTTATTTTAATTACCTCCTCAATCTCTTCTCTTGTTATGGGTCTGTTCAGATTTTCTATCTAAGTTTGTGTTAGTTTAGGTAGGTAGTGTGTTTCTAGAAATTTGTCCATTTCCTCTAGGTTTTCAAATTTGTTGGAGTACAACTTTTCATAGTATTCTGTTAAGATCCTTTTAATTTCAGTTGGGTCTGTTGTGCTATCACCCATCTCATTTCTTATACAGGTTATATGCTTCCTCTCCTGTTTTTCTTTTATCAGTTTGGCCAGTGTTCATCAATTTTGTTGATCTTTTCAGAAAACCAACTTTTGGTCTTGTTGATTCTTTCTGGTGTTTTTTCTATTTTCTGTTTCATTTATTTCTGCTTCGATCTTTATTATTTCCTTTCTTCTTGTGCCTGGGGGTTTATTTTGCTGTTTTCTTTCTATTTGTTTGAGTTGTAGGGCTAATGTATTGATTTTGGCCCATTCATCTTTTTTGATGTGTGCATTTATTGCTATATATTGACCTCTGAGCACTGCCTTTGCTGCATTCCAAAGTTGCTCGCAAGCTTTTAAGACCCCAGAGGCTACTCACCTCACTAGGATGCAGAACATGAGCTGTATGAACTATATTATGCCAATTGACTAAGTTGTCCCATGTGACTGAGGTCCTAAGCCTTCAAACCCAATGAACCATTCTAGCAAGGTGTCTGATTATGTTTGAGAAGTATCTGTAACTGTGTCCTGTGTGATTATCTGTGCATTCACATATATATCTGTACATACAGATACTTCTGTTTGTGCACACATATGTACTCACCTGTACCTAGCTGTACACATATATACCTACATATGTGACTATACACTCATTTTTTGCTTAGTGTTGTTATTGCCAAATTATATATGTCATATTCTTTAACATAAACATTCTTTTCTCTTGTGCACTTCTTAGTGGAATGATTTACTTTCATAATGCTGTGCTCATTACACCCACGTTCTGTGCTAGTTTTTACATCACCAAAATTAACAAGTATTTATGAACTAGAGAGTGATTCTACCTTCCCCCTCCACCCATCCCTGGTATCTACCAATGAACATTGGTTTCTCTATATTTATATCTATTCTTGTCTTCTTATACAAGTGGGATCATACAATATTTGTGCTTATGTGATTGACTTATTTCACTCAGCATTATGCCTCCAGATCCATTTATATTATAATATGTGTTGTGGACTCATCATTGTTCTTTATGTTTGCGGAGTATTCCATTGTGTGTCTGTACCATATTTTATCCATGTATCCATTGAAGGGCACTTAGGATGTTTCCATTTTTTTGCTATTGTGAGTAATGCTGCAATAAAAACAGGTGTGCATATGACTGTCCATGTCTCTTTTATTAGATCTCTAGGGTACATACCTAGGAGTGGGATTGCTGGATCATAAGGTGTTTATATTTCTAGTTTTTTGAGGCATGGACTTTTCTAATGACTGGATGTACTCTGATGAACATTCTTCAGTGATCCTGGGATCTTTTAGGACATTTGAAATAAATTGCAAATTTCTCCTATCTCCATTCCTTATAATAGTTAGGAAACAGTTAAACAGGATAAGGGAAAGCAGGATAACAAAACTGAATTAAATAAAATAAATTATGGCTCAGAATCAAGTAGAAAAAGTAGAGAGGAGCCAGTTTATAAGGTTGAAATATTAAATGAGAAAAACAGAATCTTTTCTGCTAGGTTGATATACAATACTGATGTACATTGAAAGAAATTAACACTTGCACAGTGAATGAAAAATGAACTGGATAATGGTACCTCTGTGTAAGGTTGCCAGAAGTTGTCTTCATTTAAAAGCAGAGTTTGTCCTACATTGATGGAGCACTTTGCTACTGCAAAGTTGATAGAGTGAGATTTAACTTAAATTTCCTTGTGAACCAAAAGTCATTTTTGAAAATGTTTTCTATCTGAACCTCATATATTTTTGCGGCTTAGTTATTTAACATAGTATCTTGTAATATTTTGTCAAAAATCCTATTATTCAGGTTTGTAAAATATATTCCTACTAAAAAGCAACAGCAACATCCTAGGCAACATTAGAAAGTAATATTTGAAATATATTGGATGACTTGAAAATGGCTTGATCCTAATGTTTTATGACTTATCAATCTACTCATTGTGGTGATAGCTTCCAAATGATGTACTTAGTACACTAACTGTATTAGGGCACAAGAAGGAGGCAGCAGATACTGGCTTTTTATATCATTATGTTATGGATTAACATTTGCTTTACAATTCCTAAACTGCTCAGACTAGGGTGAAGAATGTTCAAATGGAATAGGTTAGGTTGCTGTAAGTTTAACCTCAACTCATCAGTCATAAACAGCAGTAACTGTGAGAAAAGACAACCTAGATTGCAAAGGTGACAGGTTGTTAGCATAGTTACTCCAAGAGAGGGTGCTGCTTGTTATAAGGCCTGCTTAACAAATGGGTAGAAAAAAACCTACTGAGAGTGGGAGTTCTTTGTTCCTCGTGGTGTCCCAGCAGCTGTGGAAATGCTAACAAACATTAGATTTTATTCTATACCTCTCAGCTCTTTACCCGTCATCTCTGGCATGCAGGCCACAGAGTTAATCACTGCACATTCTATCCTATCTTTATTGCATAAGTCAGTATCTCAGATCTCAGTAGTAAGAGCAGGGAGTAATTTGGGATTTCCTCACAACAGGTGAGCTGTATTGCTAAGTGCTTGCCTATAAGTGGAATCAAAACTAGCAATCGATCTCTTATGGGTTTAATGTTTGCCATAACTATGTGGGGAAATTTAGAGGAAAGTAATCAGTCTTGGCACTTAAACAAGATTTAGAAGGCTAATGTAGCAAGTGATGGTATTTTCAAAAAGAGAGTACATTTTTAACCTGATTTTTGTTTGTCTGTTTTACAATAGTTCAAGGCCTGGCAGGCCCCCTAAGCGGTCTTTGGGAGTGTTGCAGGACAACGCCCGCCTCCTGCCCCATGCAGTCCCAGGCCTCTTATCACCAGGACTTATCACTCCAACAGGTAATAAAATCCATCTGATGATCAGCCTTGTCTGTTCATACTGCCAGAATTTGAAATAAACTAATATTGATCTAACTGTCTTGTCCTTCAGAGGTTTTCAAGCTCTGCCAGAGGTTACATTATTGAATTTTTTGAGTATTCATGAAAAGTTTGTTACTCCAGAAACTCATATCAAATGGACATGATATTTTAAAATTAATTGTCGTTTCCTTGCAGGGAATCCCTTTAAAAGCCTATTGTGTGTGTGTGTGTGTGTGTGTGTGTGTGTGTGTGTGTGTGTGTGTGTGTGTTTGGAGGTGTTGGGCACTGGCCAAATGACCATTATCTTAAAGCCTTTTATAAGATACAGCATACCTGCTAACTTATATGTTTCAGTAATATTCTTTTTGTTTTCCGGGGTTCTGGGCATCTGTGTATGTTGTCCAAGGTTATAAATGTGAAAGAAAACAAATCCCTGGTTGGTGAGCCTTATGATTAGAAAAGAAAAACAAATACAGGTAGTCATAGTCCTGAATGTTAATTCAGTGCTTTTCATTGAACACTGTGATAAACAGTATTCCCTAAAATACCATCTTCATAAATTAATGATCAACTTTCTTGAGTCTCTAAAAAAAGTACCTAAAAGTATATGAAATCACTTAAAAAATAAAAACAATATTTCTATAATTGAACTTTTAAAATATAAGTAAAGCTACTACATCGTAAAAATGAATCTAATGACAATGAGATCTTTATGTATACCTTCAATGCTGCAAAACCTTATTGAGCACCTACTGTATGTAACGAATGGGTTCCTAGGTAATACAAGAATATATGAGTAGTGGTCCTTGTCACAGTAGAATTAGGGATAAAGGCATGAAAGCTAATAATTAAAGTGTGATAGAGGATAGAAGAGAGGTACACACACAGTGCTGCAAGATTATAGAGATGGGAACACTAAATCAGTCTGATAAGTTGGGTAATGCTCAGAGAGGTAAGCAGTCAGAGAGGAGTATAGGCAGACATAACACTGATGAAAAAGAACCCGTGTGTTAGGGGGGATAGCAATTAAGTTAAAGAGAGCAGAACACAGATTTGAGGTGGGAGACTCATAGGAGATGTGGCTAGAATAGAAAGGGAGGGAAAATCCAGCTTGTGAAGGACTTTGTTTACCATGTTAAGTGGTTTAGGTTTTTCCTTGTAGACCAGCAGTTTTCAAGGAGTCTTTCAAGGAGCTATAGTGTCCAGCAGATGTTCCTTACTGACTGAGTTGGCAATGAACTTCTGAGATCCCTGTGTCTGCTTCAGTTAGAATTTTAAATGTTCATGTTCACATAGGATTCTTTTAAAACAACAAAAATAAACAAACAAAGACAACTGCTGTAGGTAAAAGAAAAAAAAAAACCCAAACCCATTGCCTTCGAGACGATTCCGACTCATAGCGACCCTATGGGACTGAGTAGAGCTACCTGTACGGTTTCCAAGTAGTGGCTATTGGATGCAAACTGCCGACCTTTTGGTTAGCAGCCGAGCTCTTAACCACTGTGCCAACAGGGCTCCATAGGTAAAGGAAGCCACTGCTAAGTAACTGAGTAAATGTTTTAAAAATAATCCCTGTGGAGGGTAGATAGGAATGGAAAGGGATGAAAGGAAGGAGGGTCAGTTACTGCAGTCTAAGGAAGAAATGTTGAGGGCCTGATCTAAGGAAAATTCAATACAGTGAAAAAGAGTGGTTTGGTAGTTAGAATTAATCACACTTGTTCGTTGATTAAATGTAGATGATGAGGGTTGGAATCTAGGATGATTCTTATCTATTTTGGGTGACATGCTGGATGATGATGTCATTAACACAGAGAATTTAGGAAGCCAGTTAGGCTTTGGTGGGGGGCGATAATGAACTTGGTAACTTTAAGTACTTATAAGCAAATTCTGATACTGGAAAAAAGTAGCCCTGTGCATATAGGTGAATATAGAAGGGATAGCAGTAAATGGCACATGTCTTGGTGCTCAATAAATTAAAATTTATTTCTTGATTTATAAAAGACATTGCCAGGGCCTAGAAATGGCCCCATTTAAATAAGCAGATCTAGGTCCTGGTTTTGAGGGAATGTGTAGATGAAAGAAAAAAAATGATAATCTTAAAATTGCCTTGAAGCTACTCCACTCTTGAGTAAACATTAGTAGGTTATCTGAGGAAAAGCTCTAAAATATTCGGAGTTGCTATTATGTACTAGACATGAGTTCTGAATGTTTTATATATACTTAAATCATCATAGCACATTATGAATATTATCTTCATTTTTCAAATTAGCAATCTGTGGCTCTGTGAGATTAAATTAATTGCTTAAGGTCACAAAGCAAGTGAGTGGCGGAAACTGAATTTCAAACCTAGATGTTTTTAACTCCGCAGCCCATGCTTGTTTCTCATCATCATGATGTCTACAAAAAAAATAAAACTCTGTTGCCATGGAGTTGATTCCAACTCATGGTGACCCTATATATGTCAGAGTAGAACTCTTCTCCATAGGGTTTTCAATCACTGATTTTTTAGAAGTAGATTGCTAGCCTTTCTTCCTAGGGACCGCTGGGTAGACTTGAGCCTCCAATCTTTTGGTTAGCAGATGAGCACAGTAACAGTTTGCACCTCCCAGGGACTCCATGATACCTATAGAACAGTTGAAAAGCCACTTTAACTCTTTCATTTCCTTAACTTACTTGTCGTATATGTTTCAGCTCCTGCAAGATAATGGAACCTCTTTTTTGGATTAGAGCCATAGCCTTCCCTCCTACAACTCTCATTTACTACCAGGAGAGCCAGTGGGAAAAAAAGTCTCAATTTTTAACCCTTTGCTTGTACCTAGAATGGGGTAATAGAGATAGGTAGGGGATTTGGCAGGGAAAGGCATGAGCACAGAACTCTACAGTAATTCCTCTCCATAGTTTACACAAATTATTTTTCAAAGTCCAAGAATATCCTATTCACCTATAGTCAGATGTAATAAGAGAAATGCTCTGTAAAGCCAGGTAGAAATGATTTTGAGAACATCTATAATTTTGGATTGGCCACAGCACTTCATTCCTGCATTAGCAAAGATAATTGAGATTGAATCAGTTATCGATTTAGATATCAGTGAGTTTCATATTTGACATTTCATTTGCCATATATTACAAACTTAAAATTTCATTAACATTGTTTAAAAATAATTCCTAAGAATTCAGTTGATATTTTTAATGTTGTCTGTTAAGGATCTAGAATTACTTTTGTTTCCAAATGATTATTGAAATGTTTTAAATTGTCCTGTGTCAGGTTCTTCTGTCTCCAAATTATTTGTAAAGAAAGAGTTAACTTTATGCATCTGTGTATAATTCTATATACAACTGACTAATTATTAAAAGGAGTCTGCTGTTACCTACTGTTCCAATGTTATATGTGTAGAGAAGAACCATTGACTGTACTAGATTTGCCTAAGCTATGGAATTTGTTCTACATTTGTGTATATTCTTTCCATTTATCATTTGAAAATGGGGTTAAAAGGTAACAAAACAGTGACCATGTTGTGTCTCTTTTAAGATATTTTGTTTTATATGTATGTATGTATGTATGGCCTATAAATTGTTGTTTTTCCCCCAAGAAGTGACAAGAAAAAAAATATCAGCAAAATGATTTAGAAATGGTAAAGACATCATTCTTAGATTTATTTAAGAATAATCAATTTTTATAGCTTGACATATCAATCTTTAAAGATACAGATTAATATCAGATATACCATATTGTTTTATCTGCTTAGTATAAAGGTAAACTTTTAATCTTTATCAGATTTTATTTCCTTTTATGATTTGTATTTCCTTTTTCATTTCAAAGACGTTTATTTTCTTCTTGGTTATTTTTTCCCTCTGTAGTGGAATCTGATTCATTCAAACTACTAATTCAGAATTTGTGATAATTCTGACAATGGTTATGCTAAACTCTCTAGTATTAATAAAGGTACCTTATTTAAGAAATTAAAAGTGTAAACAAGAAATGCATATTCATGTATGTGAGAGTGTACATGGTATAGTGTCATTAACCTATTTGGGAGGTTTAAACATATTCATGTACTTAAAATAACTTTAGCAGGATCTAGTTCTATAGAAAAAAACAGTGTACTAATTACTGATGATTTGTCTTTATTCACTAAGATAGGTCCAATATGATCTATTTTTGACAATATTGTTAGATATTCATTTAGCTATTATATCTTTTTATAACCAGATCTATAGTCTGTAGACAGATATGATATATAAGTGTAGTATGCATTCATTTAATATATATTTATTGAACATCTACTATACACCAAACAATATAAGCAAATGTTACAACACATTCAAATAAAATCCACTTTATGACTCAGTTTCCCAAAGTCCACCCAGCCTTTCCCCCAGTTATCCCAAAATGATGAAATTTGATTGCATTTTGCCTTCATATATGTTTCTGACTCTGTTACTATTGTATAATCCATACCTTCATTCCCTGATAGCCCATTAATACGTAATAATCTTATTTTCTAGTATTTTCAGTAAAATCTTTTTGGCTATTGAGGGGGGGTGGGGAAGAGGGAGTATTATTCTCATCTTTGTCTGTGACTCTGCAGAAGTGCTGATATCCCTGGATCACGCTGAAGGGATAGATTAGTCAGTCATGTGTGCCTTTGAATTTCCCAGAAGATGACTGCTTCCCTTTTCTCAGCTTATGAAGCATTTCAAATAGACAGATGTGGAATTTGGCCTGAGAGAGATTTAAACTGACGGTTTACAAGGAAATAATAAAGTGCTTCAGAATAAATTCTTGTAGTATTCATTCCTTATAAGGTAGCGAATTCTTCAGCTGGTCTTGTCTTCTAGCTCTATTGTGGCTAAATATTTTTAAGAATTTTAACTGCCACTCAAGTCCCCGAGTAACTGAGCTGATGAAGATTCAATCTAGTAATTGTTGTGTTGTTCAGTGTCATCGAGTCGGTTCCAACTCGTAGCGACCCTATAGG